TCTTTTGTGTGTCCTATTTATTTACCCTGTTTCTATTATCCACATTCATTTTTATCTAATAATAAGAAACAGATATAAATATATAATACAAAACTATTAATTTAACAATAATTATAGAACGACCACCTTGCTGTATCCTTCCTTCTTCAGCTTTTCCTTTAGTAGTTTCATTTATTGTTCTTAAAAATTTTCAGTTTTAGTTTCTTTACAAAGTGCGCATTGTCTAATTTTTCACTATTATGTATTGAAGTTGAGGAAGGAATGATCTGGAATGATCAGACATGGAAACCGTTTTAAAAGATGAATGATTATATTACTGCAAAGTTTGAACACAGGTTAATTAGTGTTCGTCCATTCACCTTCCGAATGGGGTAATAATACTTTAAAATTTTCAATTGAAATACGAATGTCCATCATCGATCATTCGTTACACAAATCTGCTACGTACTTGAATTCTTTAAAAGGTAATGAGACCAATTGTGTCTAATGAATTGTTTTCTTCCGAAGCCTATTCATGAAAATACATATATAATATAGCATCGCGTGAATTTTCTTTTTTTTCTTTCAAAGTTTAACATATTTTTAAATTTTTTGAAAAAATGTCGGAAAAAGAAACAAAGCCAAGAGAATATTTAATTAATTTTGCAAAAGTTGTAGCAGTCAGTTATATTCTTGTGATTTCTTCTTATTTATGATTTATATATCGAAATAAAAGATTTAAATGATACCATTCAAAAGGTTGAAGTTGAATCGAACGATATATTAGTTCCTCCAGCTTTAACTTTTTGTATAGAAAATGACCTAACTTGCAATTTTACTGTCACAGTTCACAATTCACGGGTTGGAACAGGAAATGATTATATAACCATGTTTGCCCCAGAAAACTTGACCGAGTATTGTTGCAAGATGTTGAGCGTGTAACAATATAGTAATATATTAATTTGTCAGAGTCTTTTGTTTTTTATTATTAAAAATTACTATTGTTAATTTCTCTAGAGAATAAAGTCACCATCAACAGTTATACAAAAAAATTCAATAAACAAAAAATGTAGAAGATATGCTATTTACGTACACGGTGCGCTAGGACCAGAAACAAACAAAACTTCAATATTAATTATATTTTTGATCCACTGCGAACTGATTCGTTGTTTTGTATATAATAGATTTTTAAAGTTAGATCCTGATATTAATAGGGTAATACATTTTAGCAGAACTAAAAATATCAATATAAACAACAAAGTAACAAATGATGTAAAATGTAGCATCATTGATGAATTCCATGAACCTCGATCAGATGTAAATAGTTCAACAAATATAACTACTGTTATGCTTCTTCCTTAACGGATTGGAGGTTTATAATATATACATTATATATATATATATATACATACATATTTAATATTAAATATTTTTTTTTTCGGGCCAATTTTTGTCATGTAGTATACACGCAGTTTAAAGACTCAAATTCAAAATGATGTTATTGCAATCTTTTTCGGAGAAAAGTTTCAATTATTCCATAATATATATATATACGTCAAAAAAATAAATATAATAATCGACAGTTTAGTGTAACGTAACTATTGCCATCACACACAAAAATCTAATACTTTCAAATTTTATCATTAAAAAATGGCCTACTCCAATTCCAGCAAGCCATTAACAACTTCAAATGAAACCCCAAAAGATTATGAAGTATAAACATCTTTAACGATGGTTGCAATTTTGTTTTATACTATAAATATTAATATAAATAATAATAAGTTCATTTTACAATTGTACATACATGCATATAATGTAGGTTCCTCAATCGCCTCCAGATGGAATATCATCGGTTACATTTTCTCCACAGGCGGATTATTTTGCAGTTACTTCTTGGGATAATCATGTATTTCTGAATTTTATATTTTATAATTTTTGAATTCTCAAGATTTACAACTAGAATATTAATTAACCAATATTTACAATGATTTATATAAAAAGGTTCGAATATATGAAGCAAATCAACAAGCTGGTACTACTGAAGGAAAAGCTTATCATCTACATGAGAAACCAGTACTCTGTTCGGCCTGGAGTAATGTTCGTATGATAACAAATAATTCGTTCGTTCGCTCATTCATTCATTCATCAATCACTCAATCAATCAATTTCTCAATGAATATATTAGGATGGTACAAAGGTATTTTCAGGTGGTGCAGATTGTGCAGGACGTATGTTTGATATCACCACCCAAACTGCAACTCAAATAGCTCAACATGTACAACCAATACGATGTATCGAATGCGTCGATGCAAACAATATCGTAGTAACTGGAGGTTGGGATAAAACACTCAAGGTGGTAACCTTTTTTAGAAGGAAAGAGATTTATTTATAAATTAATTACTGATTGTGGTTACTGTCATTATTGTGGTTATTTAGTATTGGGATTTAAGATCTCCACAACCTGTTTTGAATGTTAATCTACCTGAAAGAGTTTATGCAATGGATTTACATTACCCACATCTTGTGGTAGGAACAGCTGATAGAAATGTTATATATTACAATCTTACCAACCCAAGTCAACCAGTAAAAGTAAGAAAAAAATTGACGAGCTTTTTATTTAATTATTATATGAATATTAATTAATGTAATTTTAATTGATCAAATAGCAAGACTTTAGTACATTGAAATGGCAAACACGTTGTGTTGCATGTTATCCAGCAGGTAATGGTTACGCAATAGGAAGCATTGAGGGAAGAGTAGGCATACAATATTTCGATGAGAAAGACCAGTAAGATTATCATTTCAATATTGATTAGTTGGTTTGTTTTTAATTTTGCTTTTTTTTTTGAATTGAAGCTGATTTTTTTTTATTTAAACAAGACGACAAGGATTTTCATTCAAGTGCCATAGAGATGGAAATAATATTTATGCAGTGAATGCGATATCTTTCCACCCATTATATGGTACATTTTCAACATCGGGAAGTGATGGCTCGTTTAGTTTTTGGGATAAAGAATCTAAACAACGAATCAAGGGTTTTAATACGGTTGGTGCACCTATTATTGCCACTGATTTCAATAGAAATGGTACACTGTTTGCTTATGCTGTAAGCTATGATTGGAGTAAGGTAACTAAATCATTTGATTAATCGAGTAATTATTTATTATTTGTCTGTTTATTTATTTATAATATTGAAATTATTATTATTGAAATTATAGGGATATCTTCAATACCCGCAATTACCTACAAAGAATGCAATTTTCTTACGTGCAATATCTGATGATGATGTCAAACCTAAAAAATCAACAAAAAGTCGTTAAATTATTCTTATTATTATTCTTATTATTATTATCACTTTAATATTATATTATTATTTATTAGCTAATATTTTTTTTTATTTCCGTACTCTCAGAATTTACTTAATGTCATATATAATATATATATTTTCACTTATATGTCAGAATTAAAATATTTAGATTTCTTTATATTTTATTTTATTGAATTTTCTATTTTTTATAAATTAGTAAAAGTTTGTATATGGTATCATTTTTTTAAAAAAGAAAGGAATCTAATCACACATATTCATCAAGCAACTATTTTACAGAATTTACAAAAATGATAGACACCATGTATATAATCATCTAAAGAAGAATAGAAGGGCGAAGGATAGATAGAAGGATGAAAAAAGGTGGACGGGAATGAGAAAATAAGGTTGATTCAACAATTAGCAAAGAAGCTTTATTGAGAAAATATTAATATTATGTCGATCAATAAATCGAATCAAGAGGATTGACAATTAAGATTGATATTATATATATATACTCACATATAAATAAATATAGTTTTTTGACAATGTCTTTGTCATATAATTGTGGCCATGTTCTAATAATAGATGTGCGATTCAGGACAAATTTATATTATAAATGATAATAACAATATAATCCCAAAGTTAAAATAATATATAGTCGTTCATTTTCCATGATTGGAGAGTACTTGAAGTACTAGAAAGTAATATTTATAGTGCAACGGCAAAACACGTGTTAATTACCTGGATACCTGCGACACGCACCTAAATTCTGTGCTGATTATGCTAGCATAACGTTTTTAATTTTTGCACATCTCCCAATGAAATGATAAATTGAAAAGAATTTATTTTAATGATATTAATAATATATGGACATTCTCCATTAATAGCAAGTAATTAATCAGGTAAGCAACCTGAAAATTACTTTAAAAGGTAATAATACCAATAATAATGATAATAATAATAATGATAAAAAGTGAAGACAAGTAAATGGATGAAGGCAAATTTGTAAGTTAAATTAAATCAAGTTTATGGGTGAAATAATTTGGTAGATTAAAATAAAATAAAAAGCTTATAGATAAGTTTGTGAATGAAAGCGGGTTGTTTGGTATGTGAGAATTGAGAATAGTCGAAGATTTATTAATAGAAATTTTTTTTATTTTCGTGTGGAAATACATAATTTTTTTTGTGAAATATAAATAGTAATTTTGATTTATCATTTCCATATTTAAAAAATCTTCCTTGTTTACTCGATTTAAATTACTTTTTTCTCGCACAAAAAACTAAATTTTGTTTCGATTGGATATTTATGGTCATAAAAATTAATTCACGAAAATCGAATTTTTGTTTTTTTTACGTTTTTTATTAATGTAACACTACTTCCATCTATAAATATAATGTAATGTTTCTTGTGTCATTTTCCATCGTTGGAATTTATAATTAATTGGGAAAAATAAAAATAAAAAATTAATAAATTAAATGAATAATTAATTAAATAATAATAACAATAATAATTAATCAAAAAATATTAATAACAATAATGTACACACATACATGCACACCAATTAATTTAACAAATCAAAAAAAAAATTTGTATTATATATACTCACACTTGTCCGATGGTTGAACCCCTTGTCCATAGTTCAATTCTCTTTCTCAATTATTGCTCTTGAAAAATACATTTCCACCTTTACTAATAATAATATTATAATTTTATTATTATAATAATTATAATCTAATAAATGAAATATTGATAATATTGATTGCCTAAAGAGCGAGCACAAGTGTTCCCTAAATATAGTATAATAATAATATAGTATAATAAATACAATAAATATGAATCGTAATCATAATATTATTAATATTTGGAAAGAGAATTTGTTCTTCGGACTTGTTGTTTATTTAATTGCATTGATCTTTATCGGTTCTTCGATTTTCGATTTTATAATAATTAAACCGAGTTTTGCATACGAAACAGCAATAAAGAATGTCGAAACAAATAACAGCGATCTCAGAATAATCAAAGGAGTTAATTATCAGGACGGAACAATTTTATTAAGATTATTGAATCCATTAAATTATTGTAATGAGAACACAATCTATTTACGATTAGTGCACACAAATGGAACGGTTTCAACTTTAAATTTGAACAATTTAAATATTCCAAAGGATAATTTCTGTGATCAACCTACTTTTGTTGCTTATCATAAACTTGGTGATAACAATAATAATGATCATACGTCTACCGCAAAATCAACTTGTTCTAAAAAAAATCCACAATGTTCAACTTTGCCAGCAACAGTAGAACCTCAAACTACCGCGATAACTGCAACCCCTACCACAACCGATGCAGCCAATACACCAACTACTACTAATAACAATCCAAATAATCCCACAACATCACAAACTCCAAACCCAACGAATAACAATACAATAACAACATCTCCGGATGGTAGCGTTGATCGTATAACAATACACGCGATATCTTTTAAATATATTTTAATAAACTATTTTTGTGATCGTTCAGTGTCTAATAAAGTTTGTGGTGATGTCGTCACCTGGACAGGTGAATTAGTCAGGTAAATAAATATTATTTTTCACAAATCTAAACTAACTACGATTTAATATATTTACGTGATTGTTATTTGTCGACTATAAATTAATAGTAAAATCGAATTTGAGAATATATGCGATGATAGTAGGATTGTACAAAGTCATAAAAAAAATGTTGGATTTTTACGCGCGTGTTATCTTAAAGACACTAAAGAAATTGTTTGGACAAAATATACTACACCGTAAGTAATTTATATTTATTTATTTAGTTATAAATTTCGTTGATCATTCTTAATTTTTAATTTAATTTAATTATTAATAGGAATGTTCCCACTGGTACAATATTCCAAGTTTCTACTGGAAAAATAACAAATGTGATCAACTTTAACTCAAATGTTACAAATTTCTTTTCAACGGAAGATGGAGAATATGCAATGGTTACTTGTACCTCTAAAACAACTACCATTACCAACAATCAATTTACTGATGACTGGACAATTTCTGTAACATTTTTACCCAAAGACAATGGTTCACCACTAACAGGTCCTTTTGAATTATACAAAAGTAAAACTACTGGTAGTGGTTTAGTTGACATAGTGAACATTCGTAGATGTGACCTTGCCTATTACTCATCAGGTTACAGTTGTCTGATTTCTATTTTCAGATCAACAACAACAAAAATATCGTTTATAGATGTTGATTTCTTATCATCTGGTAAAGTAAATTCGGTGACTCCGGAATTTTCAATTACTCAAATTACCACAGCCACAATATGGGATGTTCAAACATTGTATTATGGTGGATATGTTATTTTGGTGGAAACTCCAGCCGGCAGTGTTGAAGGACATGTTTGTAGTAACAATGGTACTTATTTTGGAAATTGGGGTTTCACAAAACAATATGAATACACAAATAAAATTGCTGGAGTTCTTCCAAACAATACACTTTGGACAATACCTAAACAACAACTTGATGATAATAATTCTTGGACCTGTGTATTGACTGATACTTTAACCACATACAGTACAGTTCAGAATACTAATAGTAATGTTAATACATTCCCTGGTGGCCCTGGTGGATATGGGTCTGACAGTATATTATCAACAACTCCAGAAAAAAATTCAAATATCATATCAACAGATATCAATTTAATCACAATAACGTATACTAAATCAATTAAAACATCATCAGGAAAGATTAATATTTATCAAAAACGTTCTAGCACAAGCCCTAATATTGATGATGATGATAAAGATATATTGCGTCAATCATGTTTTGCGCAATCAGACTATGTTCAAATTTCGAATGAAACCACTGCCCAAGTCAAAGTTTTAAAAAGTACCTTTAATAACCCTGGAAGCGAATATTATGTGACTGTTGAAGATGATTTTGTTAAAAGTGCGACTACTGATCAAAATATTATTGGTATAAATTCAAAAGCATGGAATTTTAGTACAGGTAAAAATTTTTTTTTAGAGAGAACGTGTGTCTATGTATTGGAGTTTATAACCTTTTATTTTTTTTTTACATTATAATATAAATTCTAATACGGTTCCATTAATCCGTATAGTCTTAGTTAAGGATGAATCATACGTTAATTACGATTCAGATTCTGTTAGTTGTATAATCCGATTAACACCAGAAGGCACAACATATTACACATCATTATCAACTGATGATCAAACAGATTTCGTTGGTAAAATATCAAATGAATTATCCAATGCTCTCCCATGTGATGTGACACGCGTAACAACGTTGACAAAATATCAATATAGCCTTCATAATAACAATATCAATAATGACAATCTTAGTCAAAAAGTATTTAAAAATGTCGGAATGAACATTACAGCTAGTTCAACTGATCAAATATTTATGAGAGTTGAAATCGAGGGCACATTGTCAAGAACAGAGTTGAGTGCAGTACAACTAGCAAGTGATCTGAATGAATTGATATTGAATAAAGACGTCACATTATTATCTAAAGGATTATACACCAATTTGATTGATTCAGGTTATGGAGCTGAACGTTTAGATCATTTCAAAGAGAAATTTAGATGGATATTCATGATTATATTTATTGGATTTTTACTACTAATGCTTATTATTTTATGGATATTAATAAGAATGCATAAATACAAAGCGGTAATTAGATTATTAATATTTACATATATTTTATATATATTTAAATATAATATTAATCAATTTTTTACATTATTTAGGCGCAAAGATTTTTGGCAGCTGTTATGTTTACGTTCATCATATCAGATTTCTGTCTGAATATTGTTTTTATATCTATACACGGAAAAGATTTCAAATGGTTATACCCTCTAAGGTATTTATTTATACAAAATAACATTGTATTTTTGATATTAGGAGGAATTAATAATTAATTATAATATTATTTTTACAGCATCACATTTTTAGTAGTACCAATTGGTTTCAATATGTTGTTCACATATTTGATAATTACTTGTGATTCATCAATCTCAACATTGAAATGGATTGAAAAAAAAATTCTGATAAAAGCTATTTTTTTCGTTTTATCATCAATCGATTTGGATTTATCATTTATATTGGCTCCGTATAATGGATCTTCATCGCCTAATTCATCCGCTTCCGCAACAATTAAATCAGAAGTGACAGAATCTTCAGAAAAAAGGACTTCTACCTTTTCATCGAAAGCATCTATTACCTCTTCATCTTCATCGTCGAGTGGAAAATCGTTGATACCAATTGTTAATGGTAATAATAAATTGATTTTGATTGGTAGGGTGTTTGGTTTGATAGTTGAAGATATTGTTCAATTAATTATTTTTGTAAGTATATGTTATTAATTATAATCTGATTGATTAAAAGTAATTACATTTATAAACTCTTAATTGTTTAATTATTGATTGCTAATTAAATTCACGCTGAAATCATATTATTAATAGATATTGTATCAAGAATTTTCGATAATTCCAGCAATAATACCCATGTTAATGTTAAGTATATGTACAACAGTATTGATCTTGAAATTGATAGTTATTGTGCTTGGAGTATATTTGAATTTGTTTTGCGAATGTGATGAGAAACGAGGCAGTAGTAAGATAAAAAGAAGAGGTGGCAGAAGAAGAAGAAAGGCAGGAGAATTTGGTAGTTTAGGAAGTATGGTCGGTACTGGTGGTAGTGATCGTGATGAGTATGATGATAGAAAATCAATTATTGACAGCAGTAGTAGTAAATATATGAAAGGGAAAAATGTTGGCAGTGATATTAGTGGTGTTAATAATACCAATAGAAAAAAGAAAAACTTTAATATTAGTAGAAATAATAGTATTAAAGAAATAGCAGATGATGATACAAATAGTACTACAAGTAATAATAGTAACGATTGTTATAATAGCATTAGTAGTGTTGATAAAAAGAAAAAGAGGAGGAATAGAGGTAGTAAAGAGGATGAAGAAAAATACGTGTCGTTGTTTGATGATGATTATAAAAAACCCGCTAGAGTAAGATCTATTAAAGAGAAGAATAATACGACTAAGGCAGATCTTGATGTAGTAGATGTTGCTAAAGATCCATTTAATGAAACAGAATCGATGACCACAGTAGCAAATAACATTAATACTAATAATGATGAAAGCAAAAAAGAGAAAGTTGATGATAAATCGGAATCTCTTGAAATTGTGATTGGTAACTAACTAACTTATAAAAATAATACTATTTTATATTTTATTAATATTAGTTAATTAATTTAATTAATGTTTATTTCCTTGGTAGATTCAAAAGAGTCGAATTCAACGTTAATAGAAGTTGCTAATGCTACAACAACTGCTTCAAACATTACAACAGATACTAAAGCTGCAACCTCAAAAGCTAGTAGTGCTAATAAAAAAAAAGATAGCGTTTATGAAGCAATAAAGAATTTTGAAGAAACCTTGACTTTCGATAATTTAACTGCTAGTAATGGCAGCAACGATAATAAAAATAACATCGACACTGCTGCTAATATTGACAGTACTGCCACAGCTAGTAGTAATATTGGTAAAGATGAAAAGTCAACATTGTCGCCTTTACCAAAAACGTTGTCATCGAAAGCAAATAGTTATGAATCTATAATCAGCAATTATGCAAAAGGTGGTGAATTATTAGTATCGGTAACTGATGTGGACATTGATACCAATAATAAGAGTAGTAGTAATAATAATAGTGCACAAGAAATCGAAAATGTTCAAAACGTTAGTAGTAAAAATGAAGTGGTTGTTGTTGATGAGATCAGTGATTATGGAGAATTGAATAAGACTCCAACAATAGTTATAAATAATAATGAAATATCTCAAGGAGAAACTGCAGCGATTTATAACAAAGACACCAGTGGAATATTAGCATCTGATGAAGTCGGTACATCATTAACAGAAATTGTTGAACCTTTATCACTATCACCTTTATCATCCACATTTGCATCTGATATATCGTCACACGACATTAATTTATCACCATCATGTGACACGGATGCATCAGCACATAATAACGATATTAGTGATGAACCAGAACCTATAATACATACTTCAACAATTACATCAGCATCAACATCAATATCAACAACATCAGCATCAGCATCAGCATCAGCATCAGCATCTTCATCATCGCCATCTACAATTGACGTCAACATATCATCAACATCAGCATCAATAACACCAACATCAACATTAGCATCATCTGTAACAAATGCATCTTCAACATCATCATCATCATTAAACGACAATAATAATGATAGTATTAATACTACTACTACTACTAGTAATACTAGTAGTCATAATAGACGTTTTTCATCATTGAAACATAGTAATCACATTAGAAGGAAGAAAAGCAATAGTAGTATTAATAGTGTGAGTAGTGCAAGTAGTGTTGGCAGTTATGCGAGTAATAAAAGTAATAAAAATAATAACCATAATAAATAATAAATAATATATTTGTTAGATTTATAATTTGTCTATTTTTGGTTAGTATATTTAATAATTTTACGTTTAGATTATTTTTAGATTATTTTATTTCTGAAATTTAGTTGATTACATTTTTTTTACATTATTCATTTTTGATTTTTAATTTTCTAATTTGTTATTTCAAAGAAAATTTTGAATTCTAAATTTTTTAATTATATATACATATATACATATATACATATAATATATATATATATATTGATTTTAATTGTTTGTAATTTTTTTAATATTTTCTAATTTTAAATAAAGCAGAAAATTTAACAGTTATTAATAACAGAGTTTAAGAAAAGATTCAAATAGTTTCAATATCACTATTATTTTATTGAATAATTTGTTATATCAAAGAATTATGATATATAAAAAAAAATAATGGTGTTTTTATGGAATAACATACATTTTTCATACCAAGTAAAACATAATAAAGGAAAGATTGATGTGGGCATAGAAAATCAGATGGCATTCCATGAAAAGGCATTCTAGATTAATATCAATAGTATGTTAATAAGAATTTGGCCACTATCATCAATGGTTCCAAATTCAAGAGAAAGTGCGTTAAAATCACATCAACCCAAGTTGTGTTAAAATTTAACATGCATTAATTCCCTCATTGATGTTCTATATTTGTACGAAACTGCTATACTCATCAAAGAATAAAAATCATGAAATGATGGCAAGATAACTAAACTAAAAAAAATTGTATCTTTCCATTGTTACTTATGCTTGATATATAATTGTACCAAATTGTATTACTATATTATCTGGAATGCAAGCACCACTGGGATATAAGCACTAGTAAGAATTTGTTACGAAAAATAGAAAAATAAATATCTTTCTTGTTTTTATCCTCGTCCTTTTGCTATCGTTTTGCATATCGCAAAACTTTCGAGCAGCAGAATATGAAGTAATTATGACACAAAGAAATTTCGAATAATATAACTGCGATTACTATTACTTTTACCATCATGAGATCTAACCAATATTTTTTTACTATCTCCGCGTAAGTAGCTTCAATTGCAAGGTTTGGCCACAGTGTGTACACTAACAAGACCCTGCAAACTATATGGAGTGTGGGACAATAGAAACGGACCATGTTGTGAAAAAAGCAATTTTGAGTTAGTATCACTATTATATGTAATTCCTCATGTAGAACATTTTTGGCTTAGAAACCATACCCACTTTGCTTAATAAAACTTTGAGATACCCTCCATTAAAGTTTTAAAAACAATAGTAAATTACTTGAAATGCAGATCTTTTTTTTAAATTTTCTCAAAACATCATTTTCACAACATGGTCCGTTTCTATTGTCCAGACCCCATATAGGTCCAGTGTTGGCCATGAAACGCCATGCTGGACAAAAGTGTACCACATTTCGTTGCAAAAAAATAATTCCAAGCAATCGCATTTTTTCCATGATGTCATTTATATCAATATATATGTGTATGTGTGGACTTTAGACGAGTGGAAACTATCGTGAGAAAATGGTATGACCAATGAAATTCAAAGAAATTTATATTTTAACAATTTGTAATTAATTAATTGTTCTCACAAATAACACTCGTATTTTTTATTACTTTTAAATAAAGTGCCTTCAAAAGTAAAGTAATTCCAAAAAATATGAATTTTGCTTATTTGTTTGCAGATGATTGAAAAGGAGTTTACTTAAATCTACTGAGACAAAGCTATTTTAAGTAAAGAAGCTATTTTGGTTGAAAAGCCAAACAATTTAGCAGATGGCTTGGGAGTTTCAGGTAGAACATTGGAATTTTCTGCTGAATGGCTCAAATAATATAAAAAACGTAATGGAATCCGTCACCAGAAGCTTCATTTCATGGACATCACTAATGCCTTACCGTTGTTGAAAAGTATATGTGAAGGCTGTCATACACGTGAAAGAATATACAATATGGATGAAACGGGAGTTTTTTTACAGATTAAAGCCAGATAGAGCATTAGCCATGCTGAGACTTTCTGGTTGCAAAAGCAAATAAAGAAGGAGTTGGTATTGCTTTGTTGCTGATGTGACTCATGAATTAGATTCCTTAATAATTGGAAATTCCCAAAAAGCACAATGTTTTCATTAATTTTAAACTTGATGACATATCATAATAGTACACAGGCTTTGATGTTTTTTCAAGAATTCAATAGAGGAGGTTGCTCAAAATATGGAAACCAGTAGGTATTATTGCTCCTTGATAATTGACCATGCCACAAGACAAATGGTTTGGTTCTTTCGAATGTTGATGTTCATTTTCTTCCCCAAATACCATTCAAAAATCAACCAATGTATGTTGGAATTGTTATGTCATTCAAGAAACATTATTGTAATTTGCATATTAAATGGATCCTAAATCAAGTTCAAGAGCCTGCAAGAAATCACTCTGATACTTATTTCGAACGTCAACTTTTCGAGAACAAGTTGAAGGATTGCAATTTTTCATATCCTTTGATAATCTTTTTTATAGTAATAATTACTATATGAAGGAAATCATCCATAATTGCTGATCATATTAAAATTCTTCTGCTATTAATACCGAATTAACCAATATCCCTAGCAACATTAGATGAGCATACTCAGATGCTTACAACTTTTAAAATAATCTATAAGAAGAAAAAATTCTGATGATGATAAAATTGTTGAAGAACTTACTGAAATATATAAAAAACGAACAGAAGTACCCATTGATAATAATGAAGATGAAGATGAGCTAGTAATAATAAGTGCTAACGAAGCTTTAAAAGGTTTGGAAGTTGTCCACGTCCTTTTGTTACATGAAATTTCTAGAGAACAATTAAAACAAGTTAATGCTCTTTGACCGATATATTAATTTAAAAAAATGAATTCAGTGGAACAGATTAATTTTTTAATATATAAATAATACATAATAAAATGGTATGATGTTTTTAATGTATCACGTGCAACTACCCAATTCCCGAAGGTTAACTGTAAAATCAATTGTATCTGTTGATTTTTAACTAAGAATCCGGAACTTTTAACAGTTCTAATTATTGTAATATATGTGTATTTAATATACAATACTAAGTCATCCCAAGGAACAAAAAAGTTTACTTTTGTGAGCCAATTTGTTTTATTCTTTTATTAACTAAATCTGCAAATTTCCGTATCAATTTCCGTATCAAAAGTACGGAGTCAGTATGGAATCGATACTGAATCGATACTGATTTTAGTTAATGGTAAAACGTGTTTTAACTAATGGTAAAACTTGTTTTAATTAATGGTAAAACGTGTTTAATTAATGGTAAAACGTGTTTTAGTTACTGAAATCATACAGACAATTATAATAGTAATAGTAATAGATTTAAAAATAAAAATTTGTTTATTTAATTTTTTTTTTTGAAAAATATAAATAAAAAAGTACAAAAACATTATTATTATGAACTAACTATACATGAAGTCGAAATTAAAGCCCTCATATCTATCTGCCCACTCTTAATTGAAGCTTGATGTTGGATATATTTATTGGATCATCTAAAAATATAACAAGATAGTATGTAATAAAAAAACAATCTCAAGTATCAATTTTTGACTAAATTAAATCATCTAAGAATATAATAATAACAACGTCAGTATGCAATTTATAATAAATATCATGAAAAAATGATTTAATAAACAATTAAATATAAAAATACGATCTTGTAAGATCAAAATAATTAATAGTTAATATTAAATATGAAAATAATCATAATACAGTGCATAACGCATCGAATCTACCTAACATACAGGTGGATCTTTCAATTGAAGACGAATCTTTCTATTAGTAATATTATGTTGTAATAATACCACTACCATGTATTTCTTTGTCTATTTTGAGGAAAGTTAAAAATAGTTGTTCTCCGCTTTTGCTGATTCCTAGAAAGCTCTAATAAGAATCTATTTTAATGCTGATATTGCTATATTAACTATAATAACACAACAGAATGAGTAAATATATTATCATTCTGCATATAATTAGATATTTAGAAGTAATATTTTAACATTTTTAAAAAACAGTATGTATTTCATAACTTTAATGTTACACCTTTAAGATTGATCCTTGTTTCAAATTCATTAAAGGATTTTTTGATTTTAAATTAATATCAAGTGACTTGAATTTTTTGAATAGAGGAAAGAGTTGTTTGCTACTGCATAAGATCGACTAATAAGAATTGTGATAATAATAATTGAAAAATAATGGCAGTAGTAGCTTCGTAATTAAGTGAATTTATTTTAATATCATCCAATAAAATTGACCAATTAAATTACAAAGATAATACAAACTTCTGCCTATGAGCATCCACATCCACACGCTTTATTAGTATTAGTGTGCAGATGACACCGATCATCTAAAGACTATTTCCATTTTTGATATGAAATTCCTAAATAGATTTATTTTCACGATTTACCGCAGACCTTTTACAAATTTGGAAACAAAGGTAAGATCTGCATAAAATTTCGGCGAGCGGCGCAGCACGTGATGAATTCGCGGAATTTATGGAGCAGATGTTGTTTAAACCGGTGATGTCACCAGGTCAACATTTGTCTTGCAGTTTTTAGAACTAATTTTCTCTATACCATGTCTTGTGTTTTAAACTCGGGGAGCAAAACAACGTGGCGGCCACCACATAATCATTTTACGAATTTTCACGGATTCTATATCTATCATAATAAGAATGCAAGCACAAGTATTATATTATACCTACGTCTCTTTCCCACCACTCATACTACACGGGGCTATGAAAGTTCTCGTTCCTGGATCAAGAGAAATGATACCAGCATCTCTATTATCTTTGACCACCAAAACTTTAGGGACTTGGTTATCGACCCTAATTTCAAGTAGTTTTAGGGATTCGTTCAGTAACTTTTAATACTACTAATTCTTCCTCGACATGTTGACAATTGACTATAAATTTATTTATTTTTTGCATCAATATTTGGATTTAATAGGTCAATGCTGTTTCTAATACTAGAAGAACTCATTTGAGACTAGACAGGGTCTTTAATTGTTTTTTAAATAAAATTTTGTAATAAAAGTAATAAAAAAATTTTATAGAAAATTTCTGACATGTGATACTTATCACCTGTGACATATTCCGGTCTTTTGTAAATTCAAAATTTCCTTTTTTTTTTTATTTCCATGATATCTCATCATCGCATGTAATAATAACATTGTTTCCAAATAGATTTTATTTATTTGTACAATGGAAATTTTAGAAATCTAGTTAAAGTTTAAATTTGGAATTTGGAAATTCTCGAAGGTACAAAAAGTTTTCTACATAGAAATTACAGAAAAATAATGTTGGACTATTTTATTATTATGGTTAGGGACGAATGACTCATCAAAAAAAAATTATTTGTTTATTATTGTTTTCTTTTCATTAGCCACATACATTTTACAAACAAAAAATCCGGGAATTGGAGTTTTTACTTATGATTTTTGATTTAATTGTTAATGGTGAAATTTAACAAATATTTTAGTAAATCA